GTGCCCGCAGCGCCCCCGGTGCGCGCTCCCGGCCCGGTGCCGCCCGCAGCCCCTGCCGAACGAGCGGGGCTGCATCGCTGCGGGCCGGAGGACCTGCTCCGGGCCGGGCTCTGGGGAGAGGTAGACACTGACCTGACCCGACCTTGATCAGAGTCAGACACTGCCCCACGTCTCACCCCCAGCCTGCTCCCGGGGCTGCCGCCACAATCCTGACAGGGTGCCAAAGGCCCCTTTGGACAGGGTTTTTGTGTCTCAGGCTCTGGGGACTGCAGGGACCAGGGCAAGGACAGCCTGAAACCAGGGCAGAGCCCTCTGGATTTGCAGCACTGGGGATAACTGGGGACTCACCCCACACCTCGGGCAGGACCAGGAGCCCGTTGGGTTTGGCTGCTCAAACATCAAAGCTTTGGGCAAAGATGGGACAAGTTAAGTGATTTTTCCTGTCCTAAAAAGGAGGAGAAAATGGAAATTAAGCCCACTGTGGATGTCAAAGGCTCCTGGCTTCCAGACTCATGACTGCTCGCTGTAGGGTTTTGTCCATAAAAATGAAAGGTGGCATCAAATAAAAGTGCCCCTTTTCAACTTTATTCCATTTTTTCATACATAAAAAGGATGCCCGTTTTTTCTTATCACACTCTTTGCCTAATTTTAACAGAATTTTAATTTATTTATTAATATTTAATTTATTTAACAGAATAATAATTTTCACTCCAGGCCCCACTTGTGAGTGGGGCGTGAATTCAATCCTTTGCCATGGGACCTTGCACAAAGGAAGAGAAGGATCTGTTCCACACGGGTTTCATCCAACAGGGAACACCCCCTGTGCCAACCCCAGCCTGGGCTGAGCTGCCTCACTCCCCCATTCTGGATTCTGGCTCCAGTCCAGTCTGAGATTTCCCCCATTTTCCATGCCTAGAAACAGGAAATTGTCCTGGTCAGGGTGTAAGACCTTCAACTGCACATTGATCTGGGGGGCTGTGACTGGGATTCCAGCAGGGAATTCATGGCTTTACAAATAAAAACTATTCCAGGGAGCAGCACTGCCAAGGTTGGGAGCTGCTGCTTCACCACACGGTGTCAGCAAAAGAGAGGAAACACAACGTGTGCATCCAAAATCAAGGATAAAATCATTCCTCCTACTTTTAGTGGGATCAGGGCTAATTCTGCCTTGGAATGACAAAGAACTTCTCCCTCGGACCCCCAGAGACCCCTTGAAAAGAGGAAGGGAAGGGAAGGGGAAAGGGAAAAGGAAAGGAAAGAGGAAAGGGAGGGAGGAAAGAGGAAAGGAAGGAAAGGAAGGAAAGGAAGGAAAGGAAGGAAAGGAAGGAAAGGAAGGAAAGGAAGGAAAGGAAGGAAAGAAGGAAGGAAAGGAAGGAAAGGAAGGAAAGG